GTATAGTTTGAAATCAGAGCGTGTGATACCTCCAGATTTGTTCTTCATTCTCAAGATTGCTTTGGCTATCTGGGGTCTTTTGTGGTCCCATACAAATTTTAGGATTCTTTATTCTAGTTCTGTGAAAACTGCCATTGGTATTTTGATGGGGATTGGTTTGAATCTGTAGATTGCTTTAGGTAGTAAGAACATTTTAACAATTAATTCTTCCAAGTCATGAGCATGATATATCTTTCCATTTATTTGTGTTGTCTTCAATTTCATTCATCAATGTCTTACAGTTTTCAAAGTACAGATCTTTCATCTCCTTGGTTAAATTTATTTTTAGATATTTTATTCTTTTGATGCAATTATAAATGGGATTATTTTCTTAATTTCTTTTTCTGATTGCTCATTATTAATCTATAGAAATGTAACCAATTCCTTTATATTAATTTTGTATCTTGCAACTTTACTGAATTCAGTTATTAATTCTAATACCTTTTTGATGGAATCTTTAGGGTTTTCCATATACAATATCATGTCATCTGCAAATAGTGACAGTTTTACTTCTTCCTTTCCAGTTTGGATGCTATTTTATTTCTTTTTCTTGCCTAATTGCTGTGGCTAGGACTTCCAATACTATGTTGAATAAGAGTGATAAAAGTCAGCTTTCCTGTTTTGTTCCTGATCTTAGAGGAAAAGCTTTCAGCTTTTCATTGTTGAGTATGGTGTTAGCTGTGAGTTTGTTATATAGGGACTGTATTATGTTAAGGTACATTCCTTCTATACCCACTTTATTGGGAGTTTTCATCGTAAATGAATGTTGAATTTTGTCAAATGCTTTTTCTGCATCTATTGAGATGATCATATGATTTTTATACCTCATTTTGTTAATGTAGTGTATCACATTGCTTTATTTGCAGATGTTGAACCATCCTTGCATCCCTGGAATAAATCCTATTTGATTGTGGTGTATGGTTCTTTAAATGTATTGTTGAATTTCATTGGCTAATATTTTTTTTGAGAATTTTTGCATCTGCGTTCATCATGGATATTGACCTGTAATTTTCCTTCTTGTGATACCTCTGACTTTGGTATCAGGGTAATGCTGGCCTTGTAGAATGAGTTTGGAAGCATTCCTTATTCTTCAATTTTTTGGAATAATTTGAGGAGAGGTATTAAATCTTCTTTAAATGTTTGGTAGAATTCACTTGTGAAGCCATCTTGTCCTGTACTTTTGTTTTGGGGGGTGGTTTTAATTACTGATTCAATTTCATTACTCTTAATCAGTCTATTCAGATTTTCTATTTCTTCATGATTCAGTCTTGGATGGTTGTGTATTTCTAGGAATTTATCCTTTCTATTTATTTCTGTGTATCTACTGTAGAGTTTGGTTTGTGGTTACCATGAGGTTCATATATATTGATCTATGTATAGCAGTCTTTTTAAGTTGATAGTGACTTAAGTTCAAATGCATTCTAAAAGCACTACATTTTTACTCCCCCCACACACATTTTTGAAATCATATTTTACATCGTTTTATTTTGTGTATCCCTTGACTACTTATGGTAGTTAGAGTTGATTTTTCTACTTTTGTCTTTTAACCTTCATACTAGCTTTTTAGGTGGCTAATACACTATCTTTACCGTATATTTGCCTTTGCCAGTGAGATTTTTTCTTTCATATATTTTCTTATTTCTAATTATGGCCTTTTCTTTTCTGCTTAAAGATAACCCTTTAACATTTCTTGTACGGCCAGTTTAGTGCTGATGGACTCCTTTAGTTTTTGCTTCTCTGGGAAACTCTTTATCTCTCCTTCAATTCTGAATGATAATCTTGCCAGGTAGAGTATTCTTGGTTGTAAGCTTTTTCCTTTCAGCATTTTAAATATATGCTGCCTCTCCCTTCTGATCTGCAGAATTTCTGCTGAAAAATCTGCTGATAGTCTTATGGAGTTTCCCTTGTATGTGACTAGTTGCTTTTTTCTTGCTGCCCTTAAGATTTTCTCTTTAACTTTTACCATTCTAGTTATAATGTGTCTTCATGTGGATATCTTTGGGCTCATCTTGTTTGGGACTTTCTGTGCTTCCTGATGTCTGTTTCCTTCCCCAGGTTAGGGAAGTTTTCAGTCATCATTTCTTCAAATAAGTTTTCTGCCCCTTTCTCTCTCTCTTCTCCTTCTGGGACCTTTATAATGTGAATGGTAGCATGCTTGATGTTGTCCCAGAGGTCTCTTAAACTAGCCTCATTTTTAAATTTTTTTTTCTTTTTGATGTTCTGATTGGGTGATTTCCATTATTCTGTCTTCCAGATCACTGATTCGATCTTCTGTGTCATCTAACCTGCTGTTGATTCCCTCTAGTGCATTTTCATTTCAGTTATTGTATCCTTCAGCTCTGATCAATTCTTTCTTATATTTTCTAACTCTTTGTTGAAGTTCTCACTGTGTTCATCTATTTTTCTCCTGAGTTAGGTGAGCATCTTTATGACCATTACTTCCAACTCTTTATGAGGTAAATTACTTATCTCTGTTTCATTAGGGTTTTTTCTGGAGTTTTATCTTGTTCTTTCATTTGGAACATATTCCTCTGTCTCTTCATTTTGTTTGTCTTTCTGTGTTTGTTTTGATGACTTAGATGAAACAAGTACCTCTCCCAGTTTTGAAGGAGTGGCTTTCTTTAGGAGCATCCCATGTGTAGACTGCATGTGCTGGGTGGCTTTGGCAGGCCAGCTTGTGTTGACATGGGCACATATGGGTGGTCCTGTAGTGCACCCTGCCACAGCCACCCCAATGGGGTGGCTGGAGCTGGAGCTGGTGCAGGCTTGGAGATCCCAGGGCACACTGCACCAGGGCCACCTTGAGGGGATGGCTAGAGTTGGTGTGGGCTGGAGGCCCAGGGTGCACTGCAGTGGCCTTGGCAGGCCAGCTAGAGCACCTGGACCATGCTCCCACCCACACTATCAAGGTGGAAGGGGAACACAAAAATTTGTGTTTGCTAGTGCCTCCAACCCTGGAGAGAGTTCCAGCAGTTCCTTGCTCATTTGGCAAACGCTCTAATGTCAGTAAATGGATTTCCTTCATGAATAGCCTAGGTGTCTTTTTGTTGTTGTTGTTGGTGTGCCCCTGGGTGGGCAAGACTGCATGTGGGCCACTTAGTGATATTCCTCTCTACTGCAGGTCATCATATTGGAGTGGGGTTCCCATTGATACCATGTATCCATCTCTCCTATCAGTCTCTCTGTGGTCCCTCTATCACCTGTTGTGCAGAAGCTATTTATGCAGCCCTCCTGTCTTCTTCACGAAGAATTGGTCTACTGTAGGTGTATATTCAGTGTGTCCATGAGAGGAGTGAGTTCAGGGTCTTCTATGCCACCACCTTGGACCTTCTAATTCATTAGATTTTTAAATGGAACCAAATACTTCTTAAAGTCCCTTTAAGGGGGATTGGCAATATCTATTAAAGCTAGAAATGTACATACTCTACTACACAGCAATTCGGTCCTAGACATACATACCCAAAAGAAATGTTTCCATATGTTCTCCAAAAAGCATGTAATGGAGTGTTTATAGTAGCACTATTTGTAACAGCCCCAAACTAGAAACTACCCAAATGCCCATCAATGGTAACATAGAGGAGAATAAATGATCTTCATCTACATGCAATGATATGAATCAAACAAATATATTATCACATGAAAGTCAGACCTAAAAGAGTAATAGTACATAATACTATTTATATAGGGGATAAAAACAGTCAAGACTAATCTATGCAATTAGAAGTCAAAATAGTGGATTTCCTAGGTAATAACTAGACTGGCACATAAAAGGGACTGCTAGGATGCAGGTGAAATTCTGTTTCTTATCTGAGCTCTAGTCTCATGGGTTTGTTAAGTTTGTGAAAATGTATTGAGCCATATACTTATGAACCATGCAGTTTTTATGTGTATACCATAGTTTAATAAAAAGCTTTTTTTTAATTAACTTAATTTTAGACTTCATAATATTTTTTGTATCAAACCTATAATCTAAATGAGGAACTAGATACAAAACATCCTGAATCTATAAGATACATGTTGTGGTGCCTCACCAACTCAGTTAACCCAACAGTGGCCATGTCCGTGATTAACTCTCTTCTAATAATAATAAATCACTCTCTCTGGGCAAGTATGACCTAAGATGGGCTGAAATATTTCCTTGCTTTTCTGGATAGAATGTTCTTGGGGGTAGGCATATGATTCAAGCTAGATCAATTGTAGTCTTTTTTTGGATTATTTCACAATGAAACTGGGAAAGAAAAGTCTTATTTCTTTTCCTCTTTCTTTTCAATAAGACTGAATAAATGTGAGCCTGAATCTTGCATTTAGATAGTTTAAGATTTATCAAGAATGCTAGCCTGAGACAATGACAGCAATATGCAGAAAGAAGGAACCAGAGGAGTGTCTGTGTGTTTGTGTGTGTGTGTGTGTGTGTGTGTGTGTGTAAGAGGGAGAGAGAATAGCTTTGGATCCCTAGATTCAACCATCTCTGAAGCCAATTCAGTTGAATCCCAGCCTTTTCTATGGGTTGATTACTTGATCCAATACTATAGTCCTCTTTTTTATTCATGTAGTTAAGGTTGAGTTTTGTCACTTATAACTAAAATAGTCGTAATTGACAGAGTAATCAAACTATAGTCCCTATGGAACTCATTAATTGCCACAGCCTGGAAGAGGGGTTAGAATATTAAACAAAAAATGGTTTTAGGTTAAAGCTGGGGACCCAAAGCGAATAAAATCAAGTCCTTCGGAAATAAAATAAAAAGGCAAAACTAAGGTGAAGGAGATAAAGATGAGAAGTTGCTGACAAGTCATATTAAAATAAAATTTTTTCCAAATTCACAAACACACACTCAAGTTAGATTCAGGTTTTAGAAGAAGAAACTTTAATTTTTCACAGATACAAAACATAAATCCAAAAGAAATTATGATTGTTTTTTACAATTGATGACTTTAAATCCTGCTATTCCTAGTTATTTACAGGTATTACAATTTTGTATGTGCATCTTCATCTCAGACGAAAAGAAAATATCCCCTTCAGTTTTAGCTAATTTTTTTCCTATGTTCTCTCATTTCTCAACTTCACTCTTCTATGATGAGATAAAAATTATAAATATACAAAGGGTTCATATATTTATTATGTTCTTTTGCACATTTGATAATTCTTTTTCTAAGAAATGAATTACCCCTGAGAAAAGGTTAACAAAATATTCTTAATGGATTATTTAGGGAAAGCAGCCAGAGGGAAGAGGAACATTGGGCTATGGAGGTCTAGGCCAACCCTGACTTTGGGAGTGCATGTACCATGAGGACGAGAAGAAATGGAGAAACCAAGATGGCAGAGCCAAGAAAGCAAAATTAGTAGTATGAGAGCTTCCCACACTGCATTAAGAGGGAGTCTGAGGAGGGAGAGGTGTCAAAACAGTCAAATCAAAAAAGGCAGAAGTATGAGGTCCCAAGGAGGGGCAAATAATCAAAGGTCACATCTGATCAGGAGCAATGTTGATCCAATCCAGTTCTGGGTCCCAAGCAAAGAAGTACATTTTAAGAGAAGAGGGCAAGGATACAGCTTGGGATGTTCAGACAGAAGGAATGGCAGAAGTGGATCATTTCAAAAGTTTCATTTTAATACAAGATAAGAGGGAAGAGAAGTAGTGCAGATCCTCTAGAATCTACCCTAGGGGTAAAGAATCAGGAAATGTAAGGAAAAAAAATACATCCAGCCAGTGGCTTAAAGGGCAGGATTACTCACATGGCAGCAACCCGCAGAGACTGAGAACTGCCCGGTACCCAAAAGATTCAAGCAGGAAGTAGTCATGTAGCTGACATCTTCAAGTTTCTACACCACCAAAGGTATCTACCTTGTGTCCTCAAGAGGCAAATCCTCTAAGAAGTCATCTGCAGCCCACAGCATATGTCTCAGTGCAGAGAGGATCAGAACGTCCTTTAGAGGGTCCAGCTCCCACTCACAGGTGTAATTACTAACCACCAAAATGTCAGAAAGAGCAAATCCAAGTTCTTTGTGAACTGCCTCTACCTGCAATACAGAAATTAAAACCCAGAAATCTCAAAACAGTAAAAAATGTTATTTTATGTCAATATAGATTATTAAAGCAATAACAAAAAGTAGGAGCTTGGCTATAATTTTCCTGTTGAGAAAAATGGAGACAGAGATCTGGCCCCATTAAGTACTTCTTAAAGAACCTGACAAGTCAAGCTCTAATATCACTGCTAATTTTCACTTAAAATATACACAATAGATTCAACATAAACTAGAAATGAAAGGTAACTAATAGTTCTATATAAACTACTTTGAAATTGAAGCATTTTTAATACAATTACACTAAAGTCCATAATTTTCTTCAGCTTCCTTTTAAAAGTTATTCTCAGGATAAGTCGATTTTACTAGACTGGTTTAATGTTGATATTTAATTCTTGCTTAGACTAGTTTATCTGTGGAGCCAGACTTCCTGGGTTCAAAACAGGGCTCTGTCCCCTCTTAGCACTGTCAATAAACACTAGCAAGTGCTTTACTCCGTGTGTTTTCGTTTTCTCATCTATAAAATGTGGCAATGACTGTACCCACCCCATAAGGTTGTTCTAAGTATTGAATAAGAAAATCTAGCTCATATTTAGTGTACAACAAATATCAGCTATTATTTTATCCTTCCAGCTGATGTTCCCACCTCCAGGTTCCTTTCGACTCCAATCTATTTTGTACGCGTGTGGCAGATTAATTTTTGTGAAGTTTAACTTTGGTCACATCACTACTCTTTCAAAAAATTGCTATGATTTCCCATAGTGCACCTAATTAAGTAAAATTACCTCATGCCAAGGTAACTTTCTCGATTTATCTCCCCCTGCAAAGACTCAGCCCTCCGCTAAACTGAACAACTCCATGCTTCCCATCCACAGTGCCCTCTCCTGCGTTGAGGCATTGACTGATGCTGTCCCCACAGCCTGAATTATTCCCCTTTTTTGTTTCTTCATGTTTTGAAATACTCTGCCTCCTTGAGTGCTATTTCCCAGTGAGAAAATTTTCCCCCATTGTCTTTAACACAATATTTTCCTCTCTAAACTTTCAAAGCATTTTATTTTCAGTCATGTCATGATATTTATCATATTCAATCACATCAAATTATTTTGTCAGCTTTTTCTTTATTGCACTCCCACATCCCTTCACCTCCACCTATAAAATTGTAAGCTTTTTAGTGCAGGGGGATTGTTTTAATTATTTGTGTATCTGATTAGAGATTATTACACTGGCTCGATCATTAAAAGTAATCAATGTTTTTTGACTTGAACTTAATTGAATTAAATTGTAATGAATGGAGTTATCTGTGTCAGTGTGAAGATAAATATATATTTAATTTTTAAAACTTGGGAAATGAGTCTGAATTATCCAAGCAATTGTTTCAATTCTTCTTAAATTCAATTCTTCTTAAAAAAATGTCTATTTTTATTTTTATACACAGTAATATCATGTGATTATAGTGATGTCCCAGAAAATGTTTACAAAGGGCAACATTCATTACCTTGGACTTCACAGGCAGACATCTGTATATGTCTATAAAGTCATCTTTTGTAATCAGATCCATGCTATCCACATGAGTGAGCAAAACCAAATGTACCATACCTATGCCAAACAGATATATATTGTTTTTATCATTATAGACAGCATCACTATTTTTTAGTTAATTAGCTATCAGTTATGCAATAATGAAACAATTTAAGAGATGTGGGAAGGCCCACCACCCCCCACAAAAAATTCCCCTGAACTACTCATTAATACCTGGAATTCTTCCCACATAGGAAGTTCCCTTCATTGCCTTCCATGGTAATAAACGAGGCTTCAAGTGAAACTACCTCTTGGAAAAGGTAACTAAAATTTATGCTACAATACTGCTGATTGATTTGACAACCTATACAAACAGTAATGTTTTTATGTAGACTAGAGAAAAGATCAAAGCATTCTAAAAAACAAGATGGAGGAGAAGAGGCCCCAAGAAGGAGATAGGATGTGTCAAAGCATCACAAATAAACTGCTCCTATGTCACAATGTTGGCAAGCACCTCCCTGCACACCACCCTTGCAAGGTTTTAAATTGCAATGAGCAAGTCATTGAAGTCATACATCATTCCCTGCCTCTAACTTAATCAAAGTTGTGAGAAACTAGCTCTTTCCCAAACAGAACAGATAATAAAGCCAAGAAAAGCCAGTGTGGGGCACCCTAATTTCCTAATCTTGTTTACCTTCTCCAAACCTTTAGTCACTTGCACATAGTCACATAGCTAGTGAGTACTTGATTTGATTAAACCATGCTGATGGACCAGGGAAGATTCACACACGCAATTTCTTAAGTTCTTCATCCTATCCAAAAACCATTCTACAATACAGTCTAATCAATTGCCCTTGGTAGTAAAGTGGAATGAGACTCACCATACTTTATCAACTTCCTTCGAACTCTTCTGATCGTTGACACCATCTCATGAGAGAGGTGTTCAATAGAGTTGGCGTCGAACACAAATGCCACACAATGAATTCTGTCCTTCAGCAATGGGGAGTCAATATAGTTACAATGACCTGATGTGATTGGTTTCATGGGATTAAACTGTAAGGTAAACATAAAGCAACATATTAATTCAATGAATATTTATCAGCACATACTGCATACCAGGCACTGTGCAAGTGAATGACACAGGGAACAAAACCGACAGGTCTCTAATATTGTGAGGCTAGCAATCTGGTAGAGAAGAAAGTCATTATGCAGAAGCTAGCAGTCCTTTCACCTAGTCAGGTAAAGCTTCTGCAAGAAAGGAACATGTAATCTGAGAGCTAAAATATAGAGAGAGTTAGCATGATAAAGGGAATAAGGATAAGGCAGAAAGTATTCTAGATAGAAGAAGCATTCAGAAAGAAATCTGGTATCATCAGGCAGACTGTAAGGGGGAAAAGTGGTGCAAAATGAGATGCAGTTACTCTTGAACTAGTAATCCCTCTACTGGGAATCCATCCCACAGTTACACCGGCAAAACATGAAATGATGTATGCACAAAACTGTTAACTTCAGGACTATTTGTAGTGGCAAAATTCTGATATATCAATAATATATAGTATTCTATCACTACTCTAAGAAAGGAGGAGCCACAATCTATAACTATTTTCTTAAATATTAAAAAAAAGGAAGTAAATCATAAATTTTTATATGGTTACTGATAGAAAGAGGAGAGAAATGTATTTGAAGGGGCAGAGAAAGAAGATGAATTCTTTGAATATATCTTTTTTTGTAGATTTGACTTTAGAACCATATAAATTATAAACATAAATAAAAAACAAAATTAAATTTAAAAAGCAATCCCTAAATTAAATTAAAGTGAACTTTTGCGTCCAGTTGGGGTCATAACTACACAGAGAAAAATCATTTCTGATTGACTTTAAAACACAGTAATTTCTATACTCTTACCACATGATACATCCTAAAGACAGTATAAACATCTGCTAAATTTGTGTGTGTGTGTGAGGAAGATTAGCCCTGAGCTAACATCTGCTGCCAATCCTCCTCTTTTTGCTGAGGAAGATTGGCCCTGGGCTAACATCCGTGCCCATCTTCCTCTACTTTATATGCGATGCCGCCACAGCATGGCTTGACAAGTGGTGTGTCTGTCCTCACCCAGGATACGAGCCTGTGAACCCCAGGCTGCAGCCACAGAGCGCACGCACTGAACCACAGCGCGCACACACTTAACTGCAGCGCCACCGGGCCGGCCCCTAAAATTTTTTAATTGGTTACAATTTTGGTTGTGATTATTGATATTAAATATGATTATGATTAGATAATTCATGGTAGCATTAGAGTTTTTATCCTGAGACTACAGTGACTATTATGTGAAATAAAGCAAATGAGTTGTGACATGATATTCTTTCATCTCTGGTGTCCTTGAAAACAGAGATTCTCTGTTTGGGAGAAAGCAGATATAGATGCAAGATAGAAGATATTAAGTAATAACTGTCTAGTCTTGAATTTGAATGAGAAGTTTCTATGTGAATATATAATGTATTTTACCATAAAAACATATATTTCTTAGTTCTGTCCACTGAAAAGGGCAAAAACCAATGACCAACCAAGTAGCAACGAACAGTGCTATTGACCCAAACCAAGACTTCTTTGAGAAATAACTTATTTAAAATCTGGGGCAGGGCCGGCCTGGTGGCACAAGGGGTTAAATGTGCGCGCTCCGCTTTGCCGCGGCCCGGGGTCGCCGGTTCGCTTCCTGGGCCGCACCGACACACCACTTGTCGGGCCATGCTGTGGCGGAGTCCCATATAAAGTGGAGCAAGATGGGCACGGATGTTAGCCCAGGGCCAGTCTTCCTCAGCAAAGAAGAGGAGGATTGGCAGATGTTAGCTCAGGGCCAGTCTTCCTCACAAAAAAAAGAAAAAAAAACAAATAAAATCTGGGGCTGCAAATATACAAGATGTGGCTTGGATATCTAGTCATAACATAAATCAAGGAACATAACAGGTTTTTAGGTTCATGTCAAAAAGATTCAGGATCCAAACTGTAGAGGCTCCCACTGGTCAAAGATGTTACATTTGACAACAGTATGGAGAAAAACTACAGTGGATTGAGACACATCAAATATGTTCAATTCATGAGTTCATAATGATAATAAAACAATCTCTGGTCACTATTGGCAGATACAAAGAAACCAACTTATTATTTCAAAAGCTTGTATAAAAGAAAAAAAACAAGCAAACATCCTGTCTTTCATATATTAACTGTACCCCTAGGTCATCAAATAGTACATGAGGAGAAGTTTTTCTTTCATATGTGAAATGAAGGAATGATAGAGATAAAATATCACTATTTTCACACCCTAATAAATAAATTGATCCAGGCACTGAACATTAATGAATACCAAAATTAGAAAAGCAATAAAACTGAAAACTGTGTGCCTTCTCCTGGAAGAACACAACGCCATCTATGAGGTAGAAGCTGAGTCTGAATGTGCCTCTAGAGTCAATGACCAATTTTCAGGATACATGGAAAACAAGACCATGGAAAACTACGTCGACGGATGCAAACAACAAAGTTCAGACTATGGGGAAGTCTACAGAACAAACAACCAGATTTCTTAAAAGACAAACTGCAAGGAAAAATACCATAAGAGATAGAGGCAGAATGTACAGGCCAAAAGAGGCTGAATAGGGCCGGCCCTGTGGCCTAGTGGTTAGGTTCAGCATGCTCTGCTTTGGCAGCCTGGATTCGCAGGTTCGGATCCCGGGCACAAACCCACAGTATTCATCAGCCATGCTGTGGTGGTGACCCACATACAAAATAGAGAAAGGTTGGCACAGATGTTAGCTCAGGGCAAATATCCTCAAGCAAAAAAAGAGGAGGATTGGCAACAGATGTTAACTCAGGGCGAATCCTCCTCAGCAAAAAAAAAAGAGGCTGAATAAATTTATTTGAATTATTTTTCAAACAAACTGTTAAAAAAGATACATGATACTTACTTATAAGACAATTAAAAAGCTGAACATTAAGTGATATTTGTTAAATTAAGCAACAATTATTAATTTTAGATGTGATAACAGTATTATGGCTATGTTCATTAAAAGATATGTATATCCCTATGTATATAAATGTATATTCATTTATGGATGAAGTGTTATGACTTCTTAAATTTGCTCCAAAATAATACAGGAGAGGAGACAGTGGGTAGATAGAGATGAAACAAAATTGGCTACGGGGGCTGGCCCAGTGGCATAGCAGTTAAGTTCACATCATCCGCTTCCATGGCCCAGGGTTTGCCGGTTCGGATCCTGGGTGCAGACCTACTCACTGCTCATCAAGCCATGCTGAGGCGGCGTCCCACATAGAGCAACTAGAAGGATGTGCAGCTATGACATACAACTATCTACCAGGGCTTTGGGGAGAAAAAAAGGAAAAAATGGAAGAAGATGGGCAACAGATGTTAGCTCAGGGCCAATCTTCCTCAAAAAAAAAAAATTGGCTATGAGTCAAAAATTGTTGAAGCTGAGTAAATGAAAATTCATTAAATTGTTTTGTCTACTTTTGCACAGGTTTAAAATTCTGTATAATAAAGTTTTTTTTTTTAAAAAAAAGGATATTTAAAAATAAACCTAACTAATTCTACAAATGACTCTACACTGAGGAATGAAAGAACCTTGCATGAACAGAAAAACAAAAAATGCTGTGTCTCTGGATAGGAACACTGGATATGTAAAGATGTAAATCAACTTTCAATATAAAATTTTAATGTAATTTCAATCAAAGCATCAACAAATCAAACACAAACAAACAAATAAAACACAAACACACTCACTTGGAAAAGTATATGTGTGAAAATGGTCAAGAAAAACAAATGTGAGTAATGTATAATGAATATGACTTGTCCAGTGAGTTATCAAGACATAACTGAGTTCTATGGGAATTAAAACAATTGAATAATATGGTTATGAAAGCAACATCATGAAAGTATTGATAAATACATCAATAGAACAAACTAGAGGGTACAAAAACCATTCCCTATATTTGGTAAGGAAAAGTTGCAAAAGACATTCAATGAAAGATGTTGGCCCATTTGACTATTCATTTAAAATAAGATAAATTAATGATTAATTCAAGATCTAAATGTTTACAAAAAGGACTAGAAATTTAAAAAAAAAGATAGACTAGAATGACTTCTCTTTAATCTCCTCCTTCCTCTTGCCCGGAACGCTGACAGTTGAAGATCTTGAGAGCATAAAGATGGAAGCCATATGTCTTAGTCAGCTTGGACTGCTATAGGAATTACCATATTGGCTGGCTTACACAATAAACATTTACCACTCAGAGTTTTGGAAGCCAGGAAGTCCAAGATCAAAGTGCTGACAGATTTGGTGTCTGGTGAGAGACTTCTTCCTGATATGTAGACAGCCGCCTTCTTGCTATGTCCTCATATGGCTGAGAAAGCAATCATTTCTCTTGCATTTCTTCTGACAAGGGCACTAATCCCATTCATTAGGGCTTCACCCTCATGACCTAATCATCTCTCAAAGGCCCCAGGTTCAAATACCATCACATTGGGGATTAGGGCTTCAATGTATGAATTTTGGAGGGACACAAACATTTAATCCATATCATCCCATGCTGAGGACCTCAGAAAAGAAAGTCAGAAGGACCCTTGAAATTAATAACCTCAGAGAGCTGCCATATTGGCCCAAAGCTACCTACTTTCAGACTTCCTGTTACATAAGAAAAATTATCTATATGAGTAAGTTGATATAGTTTGATATCTGTTTCATATAGCCAAAGGCAATTGAATGTATAATAACATTCAGAATTGTTATGACAGCTATGATGGAATAGTCCTTCAGATGTTTTAACTCTTTGTAAAATAAAATATCAACAAGGAACAAAGGATTTTGAACAGGTATAGTTTAAGAAAATAAAAGCTGAATCACTAAACTAGACTAGAGTCTGATGTTCTCGACAGTGGGCAAAAATAAACATTTTAAATATCAATTATAATTTTTCAATGATTAACCACATCATACCTGGTATCTGTCAGAAATGTGGCCTTTTAAGATGTAGGGTATGTCATCCATGCAAAGCCCTTCTTCTTCCTCACCCAGCCCCATGGAGTCACACAGAATAAATGGCAAGGAGTTGCCATCCTGCTTATCCTTAACGGAATATGTCCTGTACTACAGAGGAGAAAAAAGTAACTTCAAGATTTCATTTTTTTAAAACTTTAAATTGAGATGAAGTCTACATATAATGAAGTTGATCAGCGAAAGACTTTTCAAATCTAATTAACTTGAACAAAGAAGCAAAGGCTGAGTTACCTAGAACGGACTCACCTTCTCAGATATCCCAGTTGTATCAGAGCCCACCAAAGCCTGGTGCATTACACGGCCTTGGAAAACAGATTTGACTGAGTTGGAAAAGCTAGACTTTCCAGCTCCAATTGGACCCAACAGAAGAATTCGTATTTGGGGAACCAGGTCTCCATATGGTTTGTAAGTTCTGATGCAAGACAATAAGCTCTCCCTGAGCCTGTTTAGACAAGACAATTTTAACAGCTGACTGAGATTAGGTCACAAGACTTTATTATAAATTTTCCTATAATTTATTTTTTCATATATATTATTATTTATTTTTGATTAGTAATTCGCCTTCTTGTATAAAAGACGTGAAACTATCCGACCTAAAATCCTATTGTAAAAGAAGGAAAAGAAAAAGAACACTTTTACCTAAAGCCAATCAGACATAAAATCTTTCAGATTTAAGTAACCAGACCATATAAACCTAGGAATAAATATCAACTATGTTAAACACGAAGATAAATTATCAATAATAGACTTCAAAAACCACAGCATAATATGTGACCTTTGAAGTTTATGGAAGTGGACCATTTCTAACACGTTCTTGAAACTCATGATAGGTATCTCCCACCTGCCAACCACCCCTTCCACAGCAATTTCCTAATGTAGTTGAAACTGTCACTGCAAGAATTCTAAGCAAAAATGTAGGCAGGCAGCCAAATAATTATTTTCTTTTAAGTATATAAAACATTAGAAATGTCTTCCCTCTACTCAGTGTTCTTTTTGTTTTAACTTTACTATTACCAAATTGTTTTAAATTTATAAATATGGGCATACTTTCTTCTTGATGATGCACAAGTTATCTGTTACAATTTGTGCTATCTATTTTATTGACAGAACTTGTAATAGAATAAGTCTAAGATAATGAACAGAATAATAGAGCATTAAAAACATTGACTTACTCAGTGACCCCTTCCATTGTCCTTTTGTCCAATACATCTACCAAAATAATCAGAGAATAATGAAGATTACAAGTTGTTGAATGACTGGCTAACTGAGTGAATGTCAATGAACTCGCTAGGGAAAAATACCAAAATAGCATTTCCAGGAGAACAGTGCAGTACAGTGAAAAGCAAGTGGAGAAAATTATGACAAATCTCCTTAACATCATCTCATTTGAAGAGTCGAGAGCTGGAGACAAGGTGGGCACTGCAAGATTATAGTGTCGGCAGATCTTTTCTCACCCAGTGACTCAGCAGTAGTGTGTGGCTCACTCCAACATGGGAGATGAGGGCTGGGGTCCTTTCTGAATCAGAGAAGCAAGGCCTAGAGGCATGGACAGGCCAAGGAAAGACTGGGAATACTCTAAGATATTTTCCCTTCCACAACCCAATAGGTCTGAAAGTGATAATTGCAGAGACACGCAAACAAAAAAACTACAGGCACCAGATTTTCTCCAAAATCTACTACCAACAATTGGGTCTCCTGGAACTTCCAGTCCAGTTGATTTTCTTCTTGGCTCCAGAAGAGAACGTAGGACTTGCACCTAGCCAACCAGAGCACAGTGAGTGGTCCAGGAGTGGGCTGTGAACTTCATTTGAACCAATGAGAGGCCCAGAATTTTTTTGTTTCTTAGGAAGAAGCACTATTTTATGGTGGATTTAAAACTGAAAGGATTGCATGTAGTGATGCTGGCAACTCTCTAAACCACAAAAGAAGAATACTGTGTGGAATGTTTATAAATATGACTATATGTGTGGTTACAAAGAAAATCTCTTTAAATTCCCAAAAGTAGAAATAGTGAAGACTGCATTCAATGACTACAATATAATAAAACTAAAAAAGAACAAGTGTAAACAAAGACAAATGCAACCTTTGGGGATTTTACAAAGCAGTCTCAACTTTAACATCCCAAAGAAAATAAAAAATCACAATTGTAAATATATAGGAAATAACAACAATATAAACACTCTATATCAACCTTGTGATAAAAGTATATTTCATTAATAACAAGAAAGAAGGAAAGTTTTGAAAGCAGAAAATAGAAACAGAAAAGAATGAAGGAACAAACTTAGAAACATAAGAAGAAAGAATTAAAAATACAAAGACAAATTTTATAAATTGAATAAAGCAGAAATTAATATAGTAGTTGATTAGTTTAAAATGCAAAATAAATAAATTACCAACTAGTAAAATCAAAGAAAACCAAATTCACAAAATGTCATACCACAGCTCACATACGGCTACCTATTGGCTACATATTGTACAGATTTTACAATATGGCTACATATTGTAAAACCAGTAATAAAAAGTGTTGGAAAAGATTTAGATTGATGGAAACTCTCGTACACTGCTTGTGGTAGTAGAATTGGTACCATTATGTTGGAAAACTTTGTCAGGATCCATTGAAGCTGAACATACACATACCCAATGACCCAGAAATTTCATATTTATATTCTTTGAAAAATATGTATATCCTTGAAGCAAAAGACACGTACAAGAATGTTTCTGGCAGTATTATTTGTAACAGCCTCAAACTGGAAAACCCAACCATCCACCAACAGTGATTTGATTAAAAAAAAAAAAGTGTGATGGAATCATTATAACGGAATACTATATGAAAATGAAAAGGAACGAATTACTGCTAATTGTAATAATATGGATGAATCTCTAGGGAGGTAAGATTTAAAACAGCTGGCCTGTGATGCATTGACTCACTTTACCAGGTAACACTTTCAGAAAGAAAGAAAAGTGACCCAGCCTAATTTCCTTATTAATATGCTAATACTCTTATCTTCTGCTAAATAGACTAATGATATTTGCTACCAGGAAAGTATTTCTCTCTTGAATGTCCTTAATAGGATGTTCCTGGCTAAGAATTACTTACAGTAAATAAATCCAGATTTTATGGATATATGAGGCATGTCTTCCTGGGAAATGTCGTGTAAGCTGATTGGCTTAGTCTGCTCAGGCTGCCATACAAAATACCATGGACTGGGGGGCTTAAACAACAGGAATGTATTTCTCGCAATTCTGGAGACTAAGTCCAAGATCAAGGTCCCAGCAAGGGAGGTTTCACTCTGAGGCCTCTTCTCTTGGCTTGTAGGTGGTTGCCATCTTGCTGTGTGCTCACATGACCTCTTTTTGTGTGTTCGTGGGGAGAAAGAAAGATCTCTCTAGTGTCCCTTCTTATATGGACACTTATCCTATTGAATTAAGGCCTCACTCTTATGACCTCATTTACCTAAATTACTTCCTTAGAGGGCCCATCTCCAAGTAAGGTCACATTGGGCGTTAGGACTTCAACATATGAATTTGATGGGGACACAATTCAGTCCATGGCACCGGCATATAAATGTCCCATAACCTAACCACTCTTTGATATGTAAAGTGGCCCTCAAACTTCATTTAAAAACCCATCTGGGAAAGAAGTCAAGATGGCGGCGTAAGCAGACTCTGAACTCCCCTCCTCCCGTGGACACAGCCAATTTACAACTACTCGTGGAAAAATTGCCCCTGAGACAGAACTGAAAACTGGATAAGAGGAACTCCTG